GGTCGATCGCGATCGCGATCGTGGTCGCGATCGATACCGTTCTTCTTCGAACGAATTAACCAGGAGAAGGCCATCGCGTAACCTTCGTGTCGTCGTCGCCGTTCTTGTTGGCGAGTAGTCGACGCATCGCCGCGCCGGTGGCACACTTGTCGCTTGGAAAGCGGAATAGACTTTCTCCTTCTGGTCGATCCTCGCGTACGACTCTTCTTCCACCTGTTATTCTCGTGGTCGTTGTACGCTGTCGAGAGGTCGCGCAACTATCGAGGACGAGTGCGAGACGAACATTTCCTAAGGAGCGACGCGTCGAGGAGCGAAGAAACGGAGGAGGAATCGTAAGGAGAAAACCGATCGACCGAGCGCGGTGGCAAGAATCGAGAAAATAAGAGAAGGTGAAAGAGAAAGAGCGCGAGGTGTGCGCGTGCGCGCACGCGCGCGGTCGTTTGAACGAAAGAGGGACAGAGGCGCGGTAAGCGAGAAGACCGAGAAGAGGAAGTAAGAGGAAAAGGGGAAAAGAGGTAGATCGAGATGAGGGTGCATCGCGGGATTTGCGCGAAACTCCAGGGAGGCTTCCTTCGACGGTGGTGTAAGTATAGAACGGTTAGGGCGCCACGCGATCGGTAGTCGAGCTACTCCTGCTCGGTTAATCGTATTCGATCGTCGCCTCGTCTCGTGCTCGTTAATTCGATGAATCATCGCGAGACGATTCGAAGCGACGAACGAGGCGAAGATATATGTACATGGTGTATCGTGTTCGACGCGGAGTCGCGTTTGTTTTCGTTCGCGACGGTGCATCGATCCGTTCGGGAGCGAGAACGCGTCCGACACTTTCACTCGGCCGAACGAGATCTCGGAGCGGATTTTCTCCGATTTCGAGTGCTCGCTCGGCCTGGAGACTCCGCTCCGTCGTCGTCCTCTTCCTCATCTGCGATCTCTGGGAGATCTCGTGGAAAATTCCGGAAAAGAAACGGGTCGATCGAAAAAGGCTGAAATCGGTGGAGACCGTTCGCGGGTGGAACGCGTTCTCCGGGGGAAAGACGATAGGCGTGCGCTCGTAATTGTACAGCCCGAGGATATTATTCGCGCGTCAGAAAGCGAACTTTGATACCATTAAGAGGATATACGTACGATTCCGGGATCGTTGTCGGGTTCTCTTTTAGTGGCGCGTTACGCAACTTCTATCGGAGCCTCGGAGGTTCGCGACGACCGATTTGCCTTCGATTCGAGTCGTTTCGTTGGTTACGCGCGAAACTTTCCGTGTAAGAGCAGGAAGCACGGTCTTATATAATGACGAGTAATTGGCGTCGAGTGCGCGTAGGTCGGCGGCTCTCGAAGCTTTCGCGGACCGGTGAAAAAGAGAAAAAAGAGTAGGAAAAGTTTCGCTCGATCAGATTCGCGGCGAAGCTCCCGCGGGAGTAAATCGGTAGCGAGGGAAGAGCGAAAAGGCAAGTTTTCGATCAAAGTTGCACGCACCGCGTCGTATCGCGACACGGTCGATCGAGCAAACGATACATTCCTATCGAGTTAACGGCGGAGCGGTGTAGCGGCGGG